ACTCTGAAGCAGGCTCCAGGCTCTGAGCTGGCAGCCAGCACAGAGCCCGACGCGGGGCTCGAACCCACAAACCGCGAGATCATGACCTAAGCGAAAGCCGGAAGCCTAACCGACTAAGCCACCCAGGCGCCCCCAAAGGCCATTTTCAATCCTCACTTAACTTGGTCTTTGGCAACATATTACACTATTGATATGTCACCCTTCTTAAAACATTCTATTCTCATGGCATCACACTTTTTTATTTTCCGTTGATCTCTTTGCCTGTTCTTTCACAGCCTCCTTTCCAACCTTATCTTCTTCTCAGGCATTGTATATTGGAGTTTTTCAAGTTTCATTCTTAGGCCTTTTTTTCATCTTACTCTATAAACTTTCCCGACATTCTTGCTAACAGCTTCAAGTCCTATCTATGTGACAATGACTTAAAATGTGTATTTCTAGGTTGGCATTTTGCTTGAATTCCCTATCAACCAACCTTTCTGATATTTCCAGTTGGATGTCTCAAACATACCTCAAACTCAATATACTCAAAACTCAACTCACAATATTCCCTCCTATTCATTGTTTCTCTCAGTAAATAAGATCATGGATCCATTTCCAAAAGGAAAGAATCTAGGAATTACCTCTCACATTATGTGAGATAATTGTTTCTTCATGCCATAGTCAAAGTGATCTTTTCAAAAAACCAAATCTGAGCATGTTACTCCTGCTTTAAAGTTTTCCAGTGACCTCTCCCTTACTCGTAAGACAAGAAACACAAAGTCTGACTTCTGTCCTTCTCTCTAGACCATTCTTCTCTCACTCAAGTCTTGCTCTCTTTACTCCAGCCACACTAGTATTTCTCAATTTCTTCTTTCCATCATAGAGTCTCGTAGATGTTCTCCCATCCCTCCTACTAATCTGGAACACTACTCTCTTCCTGCATAACTCCTACCAAGTGTTCATATATTAACTCAAGCATCATTGACCCCAAAAAGGCTTTGCTGATACCTTAGTGTAGGGTAGGCTCATTTGTTTTAAAAGCTCTTATATGTGCTTTTCAGTTCTTTCTTCTCAGGGCAGTTATCCTGGTTAGTAAATATACATCAGTATAATTATATGAAAATAATTTCTTCTGCTATGGTATTTTAAGTTCATGAGAGCAAGAATTGTCTGTTTGAGTTAACACAGTATCACTAGGACCAGAATTGTGCCTGCTATAGAGTAGACGCTGAATAAATATTGAACTAACGGATAAAGAATTAAAAACAATAATACAAAGAAAGCAGAGCTCCAGTAAGTAGAGACCAGAGAGCCAAGGAAGAAAGTCGATAAAAAAGGGAAAAAAGGAGATGAATGCTTAAAGAAGAAAGTGGTTAAAAGTTTCATATGTTACAGAAAGATTAAAAGGCATGAGAAGGAACATGGCATTAAAAGGCATGGATACAGAGCAAGCAGAAAATTATTTGTGACCTTTGAGAAAATAGTTTCAGTGGAATGATAGAATCCAGAGAGCAGCAAAGTTGAGGAATAAATGGGAGCTGAGCATATAGAAGAAGCAAGGAGGCCATTTTTTAAGAACGTGTCAATGAGAAGGAGGGAAAAACAGCCTGTAGAAAGGGCAGAGAGCTCAGTCACTGGACCATACTGACAGTGATCACAGAGGAGGAATTACAAGCTCCAGGCTACAGTAGGAAGCAGATCAAAATGACAGGGTTGGCAGCTGAAGATGGGAGGTTAGTAAATAATCTTTTAATCCAATTACTTTCTATCAACAGGATGGTGGTAAAAATACTAGCTAACATTTCTTTTTTAGACTAACTACTCACTAAGAGCAAAGCCAAGTCTAAAGTACTTCAAAACTTCTCACTAGAGCTCCCAGCATCTCTGTTAGGGAGTAGGATCATGAGCCCCATTTTACAGATGGAAACTCTAGTTAGCCACGCAATCTGCAATTGATAAAATTAAAATTAAATCCACATTTATTGACTTCTATGGAACACACTATTGATTCCTAATTCCCTTGTCCCTTGACTCATTTTAGCTAAGAGTGTTCACGTGACCCATTTCCAGACAATGGGATATAAGTGGAAATATGTTTGGAACTTCCTTGGAAAGCTTTCCCTTTTTAAAAAATATAAAGGGGGCGCCTGGGTGGCTCAGTCAGTTAAGCATACGACTTCGGCTCAGGTCATGATCTCACAGTTCGTGGGTTCGAGCCCCACATCGGGCTCTGTGCTGACAGCTAGCTCAGAGCCTGGAGCCTATCTTCGGATTCTGTCTCTCTCTCTGACCCTTCTCTGCTCACACTGTCTCTCTCTGACTCTCAAAAGTAAATAAAAAACATAAAATATATATATAAGTACTTGGATATGTTTTTATACATTTAATATCTATTATCTATTACATTTCTATTAAAATTTACAAATATTTAAATAAACTCATATGAAATATAAACATTTACATTGCTTTTAAAGGAAAAGCCTTCCAAGGCTTTATTGTAAAACAGATATTGCTGGGCCATCCCATTCTTCTGACTTGAATGTGATCGTAAATCCTAGAGCTGGCTTGCTGTCTTAGGACAATGAGGGAATAGCAGAGAAATTACAGAGAAGCTGAACCAGCAAGAGCCACAGGACAACAGACACCTACTTCTAGACTTCTTGCTATGTGTGGGGAAAAAAGAACACAAAGAACCTGGATTTTCTAAGTCATGTTGGTCAGGTTTTTTGTTGTTTACACTTCATTGTATTCCTAATGGATATCATTCCAAACTATATCACCTCTCATCTATGAAATACACCGACTGAGGTGCTTCTCCTCAGAGAGTTCTTAAGGGGTTCAAATGTGAAAAAGCATGTACAAATATGTTAAAAAATAAAATTATTATTATACCAATTTATTACTGTTTCAAAAATAGTAATTCTCAACTAAGGAAAGAGACCAGGGAGTAAAGAGCCTATGGAGATTGGGCATTGGGCAGCATTCTCCTAGAAAGACACGTCCTCAGTACCTGGGAGATTTTTCACATTACACATGCCCCCTTTTGAGAATCATTGCTAGGGTGAGCCACTTCTTACAAACAAAATGGTGAGCATATCCTCACAGATGTGTTCAGAAGCGGGAAAGGCAGAGCAGTTGAGTTGTATGATGGTAGTGAGGCACACTTTCATTAAGTCATTAGTAGAACAATAATTGATAAAAAAAAAATTTTTTTTGACCCATGGGGAAACAATCCTACCTTATCAACTTTGGCCTTTCTTAAAATAAAAGTAATTACTTTTAAATGAATAACAGTAACAAACAATAAAGAACTGTATGACCCAACAAAGTTGACACAGCTTCATATACTGAAATATTAACCAATGGAACCAGAGAGGTCACAGGAAGAAATGTGAACAGGCTTCAGAGAAAGGCTAAAATAAATTTAAAATACTCCATTTTTTAAATAAGTTTACTCTTTTATTTCTCTTGGTGGAGATTAAATTTACTACTCTCTCTTTAAGAAATTAACAAAGTCATTTTAAAAAACTGAACTTGGGGCACCTGGGTGGCTCAGTTGGTGAAGCATCTGACTCTTGGTTTCGGCTCAAGTCATGATCTCACAATTCGTGGATTCAAGTCCCACAGTGGACTCTGCACTGTCAGCACATAGGCTATTTGGGATTCTCTCTCCTCCCTCTCATTCTCTCTGCCCCTCCCCTGATTTTGTTTTCTTTCTCTCTCTCTCTCTAAATAAATAAATTAAACTTAAAAAATTAATAAATAAAAATTAAACTCAACATCTCAGGGCCCAAATAATTGGTTTGGTCATTTATTGGATGACATACTAGTATTTTCACTCAATAAGCATCAGTTAAACACCTACTATGGGCCAAATGGTTTTTGCCTCTAGAGCAAAGAGGAAATAGCAGTGAAGAAATCCCCAAATTGCTTGCCTCTATGTGACTTACATTCTATGAGGGTAAGGAACAGACATTGACCAAATAAATAAAATGCAGTTTATGTCAATCAATAATAAGTGCTACAGTGAAATAAAGCAAGATGGAAGGTAGGTAGGCAATATGGGGCGAGAATGAGACAGAGTTTGGGGGTGAGGGGAAGGCTGGTAGCTGCAATTTTCAGTGCTACGGTCATAAAGGTTTCATTGGGATGCAAACACTTGAGCTGAGATCTGATGGAGCTGAAGAACTAACCCATAGTCACGCAGCTATTTGCTTTAATGCGAACTCTTTTTCTGTTGAATATATCATTGGAAGAGGGTCAGTCGCTGAAGGGCAAAATGATACCGTTTTTCCTTATAAGTCACCCTGATCCACCATAATCAAACCAAAAAAAAAAAAAAAAGGAAAAAAGACATTCCAAAGATCGGCAACCTTCTGAATCTCACTGTTGATATATCTGACTTTGGAGAAAAAAGTTTAAATGCTTATTTTATTCCCTTATTCACTTTTCGATACTCCCCAAACACACATTTCACATGTAGAAAATTTTGTTTAGTCTTCACTGAGCCCAAATTTCATCATGGGCTAAAATTTTAAGACATAAAATGGCTGCTGAAACGGAATTTTAATCATCTAGATGAATCACAACATGCGTCTTTAGCTAGGCATGTATTATGGATAAGTCTAGTTTTCTACAGAGAATAATCACATGCTCTAATTACCATTTTGGTTATACGCATAATTAATAATATTCTGTCTTAATGGGACACGCTGAATCTTCAGACAGTTGCAAGCTTTAACTATGCATACTGCCAAATCCAACTGTCAGCTACACTAGCAAACACAAAGGAATCTTGATGTTGTGTTTTAGCATTGATAACAGTATGCATATCTTTATACATGATACAATGGAAAAATTAATTGCCTTTCTTTCTCACAATCTTCTCCACACTAATAATTTTACATTTCTTGATTGATCATTTACCCTAAATTATATATAGGCGAGTGATATAAGCCCTAAAAGCATGAATGTAAAGTGACCCAGGACACAAAGGAAAAGAAAAATATCGCGGGACTTACTGATTGTAAACTTTCATTTTCACGTAAACAAGCTGTGTGAAGTTCTGATTTCAACGTTGCAATGTGACTTCGATGAGATGTCATCTCCTTCTCTAATGTAGCAATTCTAGTGCTTGCTAGCTGGTAGACATCCATGAAACTTTGAATCATAGCCTTAAGAAATAAATATAATGTCACATACAATTCAAATAAAGCTGTCCCCAAAGAAGAATTTCCATAATTTGAAAGCAAAATCATTAAAATTTTAAAATAAACAACTTTTCATCTTTCTTTAAAATGAGAAAGCTAAACCTCACATTTTATATTGAGAACAGTGACTATTTTAAGAAAGTTTGGGAGAAAAGTAATTGAAATTTCTTTTCCAGAGTATACATTTAAATAAGATGTGCTTTGATCTATTGTGCTTAAAATGTAGAAGGCAATTTTTAAAGATGACACACTTATTTGCTTTGTAAAGTTAAATTCAAGTTGTAATTTGACCTAAATTTCAATCGTAAGACACACAATAGATGGATATATATAAGCAAGATATCTTAAAATGAGCTGAGTTAGTAAAGTTTTCAACCTACCTAAAAAAAAAAAAACCCAAGTGTTTTGAAACAAAAGGAGCTAAAATAATCCTGTAATTTGTGTAGGAGTGAATAATGTGATTCTTATATTGTACAAAAAGCATAATTATGTTCATTCATATAATAGAGAATTGCTCTTATTTTGTACTATGTATAATAAAATAAATAACACAAACAAGTGTGTATAAGTTTTTCTCCCCCCTAAATAAATTATATCTGGGGGATTGTTAGATTAGACCTCTGTATTACATTTTATTCATATTTCATAGACTTTTTCTTCTAAAGCAGCTAGTAGTGAATTTTGAGTCCAAGAATACTATCAGATCTTTTTTTAAAAAGCCTTTCAAAATATTTCAAATATAGCAAAAATCAAATATTTCAAAGACATATTCAGATATAGTGTTATGTTATTTACAAGAAAAAAAAATGTTCTAACCACAGCAACATATTAGTGAAATGGTAGCCAGTCTGAGAATTTCCAAATTATATTCAATCCGAAGGGTCCTGATTTGGAAAAGCTTTGAGAAATGAAATATTTGAGCAATTCCAAATGCACATGAAATAATAATTTGGTGAGCAAAGAGTAAGAAACAATGTACACAATGTCTGAGAAACAGAAGTACGTTAACCATTTGCAGGTAATAGTAAGAAAATTCACACCTTTTTGCCTAATAAATTGCTATCTGCCCTAAAACATTAAACTCAGGCACCATCTTTTTCAACAAGCCTGTTTACAATTCAAAGGCACTGTTAATTTTTACTCTGGCCCTGTGTGGGCCCCTCATGCTTGCTTCTACTGTAATGTTTATTGCTTTAGCAGAATTATATTAATTTACTAAACTGAGGAGATCCTAAAGCCAGATACTATGTCTAATCTCTGTATCACCACGGATGTTAGTGGCCCAGAGTGAACCCTTGTTTGAATGAATGAATGAAGGTAAAACTGGAAAATATAAAAAAACACAAGTTGAAGCCATATGTTGGCATAAAATGCCTTATAGGAAAGGATAAAGATATTTGGGGAAATATAATCTTAGCACTCTAATGTATAAATTATTAACCATACTTTGTTCAAAACGAAAAAGGAAGTGAAAGCATGGCCATAGGCACAGAAGGATAGGATACACAAAAGAGAGTTCTATTACCCAACCCTGAATAAGCATGGTATGATGTCATTCTTGGGAACATCTCTACCTTACTTTTAGTTATTTCAAGGTGGGCCTATGGCTAATACTAACACAAAATATTTCCCTGGGCTTCAAAAGTAGGTAAAAATCAGAAACCATAAAATCATATCCGCATCTTTCTATGCCAAGGCTCTCTCTACTCTTATAAATTCACTTATCTCTACCATTGAGATGGTGGAACCAGAATCACAAGTCCTCTCTTTGGTCCTCACTCCACCGCTTACTCAGCTTTACACTGTTGGGTAATGCCACAGCATCTCTCTGAGCTTCCATTTTATCCCTCCAAGAAATAGGGATATTTCTTGCCTATTTCCAACCCATTGTAAGGCTCAGATAAGTCAAAAATCTAAGATAAAGTCATTCTCTCGATCCTTCAGCTACATTACATCCATGTAAGAGAGCCCTCTAAAAATGGTAAACTACTGAATTTCATTGTAAAATTACTACTGACCTATTTGTATTTTTATTTTTGATGTTTATTTATTTTTGAAAGAGGGAAAGACAGAGCATGAGGAGGGACGGGCAGAGAGAGACACACAGAATCTGAAACAGGCTCCAGGCTCTGAGCTGTCAGTACAGAGCCCGACACAGGGCTCGAACTCATTAACCACGAGATCATGACTTGGGCCAAAGTCAGACACTCGACCAACTGAGCTACCCAGGTGCCCCTGTTTTGTTTTTGAATTCTCCACTAAGATCTTAATGAGACAATCTATGATAGGTGGTTTGTATACATATGTTCTTATTATACAAGGACCTAAAATGTATAAAAGGCATAACAAGATGTGTAAGTGCTTAATGAATTAAAAAAAGTACTTTTCTATCAGTAATAGGCTCCTGGATTATGATTTCACTGTGAGTCACAACAGAACTGGCCTCTAACACGTAAGAATAAAAAAGCTCAACGTTTAAAAAGTTATCTTATTTCCTAAATTTAGAGAAACATATTTCATGAATACTGTATGCGATACCCTTAAATAATATAAATTATATGCCTTCAAACCTCTTTTTAAAAAAATAAAATATTTTTGAGAAGTTACATCTAAATTTGTATATGGTGGATGGAACAAAAGTCATAATTATTTTGGCTCCTTCCTTGATCTACTTTTAATAACTAAATTGTAATATTCAGTGCAGTATTAAGAGAAACCACACAGTACTTCTTTCGAACACTAAAAAGAATATAATAATAAACCATTTTTGCATAGGATTTAGAACATTACGCATTTAAAATCTTTTATTTATTTTTTTTAATTTGAGAGAAAGAGCACAAGCCAGGGAGAGGGGCAAAGGGAGAGAAGGAGAATTTCTTTTTTAATGTTTATTTATTTTGAGAGAGAGAGAGGGAGAGAGTACATGTGTGAGCAGGGGAGCAGCAGAGAGAAGGGGAGAGAGAATTCCAAGCATGCTGTCATCATGGAGCCCATCACAGGGCTTGAACTCACAATCATAACCTGAGCCGAAATCAAGAGTTGGATGCTCAACAGACTCAGCCACCCAGGCGCCCCTAATATCTTTTAAAGCAGCATTTCGTTTGAGAGACGAAAGCAGGTTTTTTTTTCCCCAACACATATATATGATGTCTTTTCAGAGTAACAAGCAACAGTGGTAAATACAGCAAGCATGTTTCACGGTATAAATAGGTATAATATCTACACCCTTCTAAAATGAAAACCTCCTTCAGAACTGAAAGGTGCGGTGGGGTGGGGGTGGTCAGTGAAACTGTAGTTACTGAAAGAAGCAACAGATCTTCTGAGGAATAAAGAATGTTAACTTCCAATATTAAAAGGTGATTCAAACTATGTAATAAAGAATTCCAGTGGAAATCCATCTCTTTCATAGAAAGAAAGGTGTCAAGTTGGTAGAATAAGTGGAAATGACAGTCTGGATCAACGGAGGGGGTTGGGAGAGACGGGAGGGAGCAGCTGATGAGTCCTGCATCCATCTCCCAAAGTCCAAGCCTTCACAACACACCTCTCTCCCATATTAAAACATCACGCCGTTCTACATTAGCAGAGGACGCCAGCGCAGCACCGTACTGCATAGAGCACGCCCGGCACTGGACAATGTCTTCTGTGTCATCTTCCGCCCTGCAGATTCGGACCGTGTATCTCAGTGGGGCTGATCTAGTGACAGGAGAAACAGAACAAAAGACAGTTTCTGGCCAAGAACAGCCGTTTGTTTCAGAGATAATCTCGAGTGTTCATAATCAACACAAGATGAGAGAAGCCAAACAAAATTCCACCTCCCTAAAATTTCTCCATTTTAGAGAGAAGTTAGAAGTGCTTTAGTTCGCAAAAAATTCTGCGCTACAAATAGGTGACTGTGACTCGAGCGCGAGAGTGTTATTTATATAACTCATTATGTATGTATTATGTAATTTAGACTGACTTCAAAATTGAATTTCGAGGGAAATGGGATCCTTGGGAATCTGATGTCAGGAGGAGAAATTAGTGGAAAATGGCATAAGACCTAGATGCTAAAACAGTAAATCTTTTACTTACATGTTTGAGTAAGTAACTGGGAGGCAAAAACCTCCGATATTTCACTTTAAATATAACTATAGATGTATTTTATTTCTATAAACTATATAAAGTGAATATACCATGTAAAATACTAAATATGTGAAATATAAAAAATCCCCATAAAATAGGGATAATACTTCTTATCTTTCTTTTTTACGGAGAGAAAGAGAGAGAGAATTGAGCAGGGGGGAGAGCACCAGGAGAGAAGTATGGGGGTGGGACAGGGGGAGAGAGAGAGAGAGAGAGAGAGAGAGAGAGAGAGAGAGAGAGAGAGAATCTTAAGCAGGCTCCAAGCTTAGTGACAAGCCCAAACGGGGCTTGATCCCACAACCCTCCGACCATGACCTGAACCAAAATCAAGAGTCAGACACTCAAACTACTGAGCCACCCCGGTGCACCCATTAATTCCAATCTCATAAAGATTTTTATCTCTAAAGATTTTGTGAGGATTAAATGAGTATTAATGCCTGAAAAGACCTTACCTATCTGAAACATAGTAAACACTCAGGTAAATGTCAGCTGTAGCAATGATAATGATATCAAATTAGGAAAAATATATATTTTAGCATATAAAACAAAGATTCAATATTTCTGAGGGGTATTATTAGACATAATGTAAACATTTTAAATATAATATATTCCATGCATATTGAATATATTAATGTCTTTTCAAACATAAAGAATTTAATTTTTTTTTGAGAGAGAGCATGTGTGTCTGCGTGTGAGCACAAGCAGAGAAAGGGCAGAGGGAGAGAGAATCCCAAGCAGACTCCACACTCCATACATAGCCCCACACAGGGCTCAATCTCACAACTGAGAGATCATGACCTGAGTCAAACTCAAGAGTCAGACACTTAACTGACTGAACCACC